CGAGCTTCTCGTGACAGCGAGCAGTTACGCCGTGGGACTCGATCTAGTCTTCGAGCTGTTTACCGTGTATAGAGCATCGGTCCGTTCGTTACATCCTCGGGAACAGAGACGTTAGCGACAATGCGTCTCGTTCGCGGCGACAATCGCGCACCCTCCCTCGTCGACAAAAAGGAGACACTATTCTTCACGGTGCACGAGCGCTATTCACGACCACCGATTTATCCGGCGTTCACACTCAGACCATACCCAGGGCCGGTTTCGAGCCCTCCCAGTCTCGAGTTAAAAGATATACACCGCGTAGAACCATAACAGGGGAGTTTGCGTGTGCTACCTGAAGCAAAATTCTCAGAAGCGAACGCTCGCCTCTCTCTTTCCACCTCTCTTCCTTTTCATATTTTATCCAATTCAGCAACATTCGGACAACTAATGTTTCGCCGCGATTAGCGGCGGAGATATATGAAGATAATTAAATAATAAGTACTCTTTAAACTCCTAAAAGGGAGAAATCTCACTTGAAACAAGTGAATATTTTTATGTATCTTCCGAATGGAATTTTGGTCGAAGAAATTCAGAGAGTACCCTCCAAATTGTTTTCACTGGAAATTGAAGAGTGAATCTGACGTACTTCGCCGAAACATATTCAATCGATTGAAACATTTGCTCATATCAAGTCAGAAGCCGCTCTGAATTCGAGTGAAACATTCACCCTTGCGATTTCGAGTGACAGCGCTCTCACTAATACTTCGTGCGTAAAACACTGCAACTTTTTCCTTCGTTTGAAGGAGACTCCACTCCAGGAAATTTTAAAGCATGTAGCGACACATGTATTGATTTCCAAGACGCTTGTTCGAACAGCGCTACCCGTTGCAGCTTTCCAACCTTGAAAACCGTCCACCTTCCTGCCCGCCACGCGAAGCTGGCCCTAGGTAGGAGGCGCGCGATCGTTCACCGGCGCCCTTTCCGCATTTTTTCCCGCGCATGTCAACCGAGGAGTTGGCGGGTTTAACGTCGCGCACGTGTGTGCGCAAGGGTGGCACGAACACACGGACACAAGTGCGTGGCGGAAAGTGGGTCGACTGGTGAGAGCTACGCGGAGAGAAGCCCGGAGGTGGACGCCATCGAGGGAGGGAAAGTAAATTTCCGCCTCGATTGGCGTCTCCGACGAGTGAATTTCGTTCCCGAAAATCCGAGAAGGGTGGTCGCCCCCTTTACTCCGAATCCCCTCTCTCGTATACTTTAGACGCTTTTCCTTCTTCCCCCCATTCGCCCCCTCCCCCCGTCCTCTCGTCCTCCTTGGCAGCGCCTGCCGATCGCCTCGGTCGCCCCGCGGCGCGTCTTTTATAAGCAGTAATTCATAACCCCACGTTTGACCGCGGCATCCCCCGTGCGTTATTTATTCTGGGTGCAACTCGTATTTTTTCGGCCGTTTTATCGGGCATCTCTCGATTTATGTGCGCCGGCTGCCCGGACCCTAAATACCGTATGTGTCGCGCTCGTCGTATGTGTCGACCGTATACACACGAATCCGCCGTGCCCACGAATTCATTGATATTCCGTGCAGAATCGTCGTCCGCGCCATTGCGATGTCGGCCTAATGAATTTAACCGTCGTGCCGATGCCCTCTTACCGGTCGGAACCACTTTGGTTCTTTATATTCACCTTCGTCTACCTCCTCCTCCTCCCCCTCCTCCTCCGCCTCCCCGTGCTGCTGCCGCTCTGCTGCTCTTCTTCTCGTCCCCTTCTTCTTTTCCTCGCCTTCTCGCCGCGACTCGCACTTCTCCGGCCCTCGGCGCGCACCGTGTGAATTCTTAAATTTACAATCCGCCGCATAATTAAATCTGTCGTGCCCCTTTCCATTCCCCTTCCCTCCCCCGACCGCCTGTCCGCCAGCATCCGCCCTCGAATCTCCGACGAAAGAGGCGTCGGCCTTTAAAAGCTGCGTTAAAAGGAACCAAGACCGACTCGCCGCAGATAAAGACGCGGGATCTTGCGCGCGGATTTAACGATGCCCGAATTTACGCGTTCTCCGGGACAAGCAAATTACGAGGGCTCGCGAAATTGAATGTGATAAAGAAAAGAAATAGTAGTCGGTCGGACGTTGCAGACAATCGCGATACGCACTCTGTAAGGAAAAAGAGCTAATTCGAGTTCAAGCACAGGATTACTAGAGCTATGTATCATATGGGTAAAACCTTTCTTGTGCTAGAAAATAGAGGAATATTTATTGAACATGAATACTCAATATAAATAATCAAACGTTTCGGTTCAATCATGAACCCTCTTCAGTGATATAAAAATTCAAGGTTTACAAAACGAACTCATTACTCATTAAAGACCTTAATAAAATGACATGAATGTTATTCGCAGTATTATAGCTGACAAGACCGTTACCCGACTAATATTAAGAAGTTCAAATTAATACTAGGAAGTAGCCGTCATAACTATAAAAACCATAAAATAAAATGATTGAGTTTTTATATCACTGAAGAGGGTTCATGATTGAGCCGGAACGTTTGATTATTTATATTGAGTATTCATGTTCAATAAATATTGCTCCATTTCCTAACACAAGGAAGGTTTTACCCATATGGTACACAGCACTAGTAATCCTGTGCTTGAACTCGAATTAGCCCTTTTTCCTATTATTTAATTACTATCATTGTTATTGAGTCCTTATTTTCTTTCTCTTAATAGCACTCTGTAAGGTTCAATTACCTCCTCTCCCTTTTTTACTGATCCGTCTTTCGCGTTACAGCGAGGCTGTAATAAAATAAAAATAATACAGCGACATGTTGCAGCGTACCCGTAGAGTGACGCGAGACCGGAGCGGGAGATTAAATTCTAACCCTGTTTATACGCGGAGCAACCCCGGCGTAGACAAGCGGGCCACACCGCGCCCCTGAAGAAAGACTCTCTCTTCCTCCCTTCTCTCTCCCTCTCTCTCTCTCTTTCTCCCTCCCATTCAATGAGTCGCGTTTTGAAAATACAGTCGTCCGCGATTTCAAGCCCGGGGTGATTATCTGCTCGACGTTTCGACGGGATGCACAATGCCACCCGTTGCGCGGAGACACCCGCCGGGGTTGACCGAGCGGGAGCGAGAGGAGCGACGGATGGGACGCGGTGGTAGGCGCCCCGGCATTTCTTCCTTTTCGTTTTCCTTTCCTTTTTTGTCCAGGACGCACTCTCTGTATTTTTTTGCGCCTGCACTAAGGCAGGTGGAACCGGCGAGGCGTAACGGGGAATCCCCGGGTGCGGCTAATAGCGATTCAGCTTCCTCCGCCTCCCCCAAGTCAACGAGAGAGGACGCATAGGTCCGGGGCGTAGGTAGAGAAGGTAGGTAGGTAGGTAGGTAGGTAGGTAGGTGAGTAGATGGGTAGGTACGTATGTAGGTAGGTAGGTGGGCTGCTAGAGTAGATGCATCACACCCGGATGGAGCTTTTCGAAACCATCGTACCATGGGAACGGGTTTTTAATTTCGGAGCCCCGTTCGTCGAGTGAGCTCGCGAGCCCCGTAGTTTAACAGACGAATGACCGGATATTAAACGTACACGTGCGCGTCCAATGGAAATGGACGGGTTCGATCTATCCCGATTAGATTAACACCCGGCTGCTCGTGTGTGCGCGCGCGCGGATTAAAAAGCGTATGTCGGCTCGCGAAACTGAGGTCTCGCGCTTTCATGTTGCACCGAGCGTGACCCGTGAACTTTCCAAATCCGCGTCGATTTGGGCTACAAAGTTCTTCAATAGTTGGACAACTTTTGCACTCTTTTCCACTCAATAACCCAACATTTTCATGAAAAATAATATCGTAATAAAGAGGCTCTCTCGAAGTTTACAGTAAAGTAAGTAACAAACGCGATTCTTGTATTTTTTTTCGCACAAATTTAAATCTCTGGAGGTTAAGGCTCCCGATAGTAAATTAAACTTAGATCCAAATTTATACAAAAACTCTGTTCTGAATGCGTTTGAACAAATTATGACAGAGTTTGAACTAAAATCTAAGAGTTTAAACTGTCGCTTCCGACAAACAGGGAATCAGATCTAGCTGCGTTTCTCAATTTCCACCGCTATTATCGTCACTGTTCAAGATCACTCAAGCCCAAGATGGCCCAAGGCAAAGGACCCAAACTCTCAAACGGAGATCAGCGCGGAGACTTCCACGCTAACGCGGCTAATTTTCTGCAAGTCGCCGTGCGACCCACCCATCCATCCGTCCATCCATCCGTCCATCGGACCTCGTATTAACGGCGGACCGCACGTCCGTTGATCGCCGGCCGTTCACGGTCGGCGATCGATGGTTTGGATTTGGGCCAGAATGACGCGGAGAGCGCCGGGAGAGCCTTCGCGCGCCCGCGCGCGGTCATGGGGGCTTTTTGGCGGGGCGGGCAGAGATTGCCGGAGCGAAATTGAGGTCGTGCCACTGGCCGTAAACCTCTGAAACGCCGCCACCGGCCGCGCCATTCGGTCAATTATTCGCTTCGAATTACGGCCCTCCAATTGCGCGAGAGTTATAAGAGCAGTCCGGCTGCTACCGCCGATATATACCGGCCGCGGCTCAGCCGATTGGCAGCTCGTTTATGATAACGGCCCTGGACGACACCCGTCCGACGGTCACGTCTCGACCCCCCGTCATCCCCGTGCTCGCAGCGGCGAGCGTAATTTCTCTCGCGCGATATCCCCGTGCTCTTTTACCGTACTAAGGATCTACCTATTTGCCGATCGTCACACGCTAAAGCAATATCGTACGCGTTTACTTCAATATTTTAAGATCGAATTAATACATCGACAGACATTATAAAATTTTTTAAGGGTTTAGACAGGTGCGCTGGGCCAAAAATCCTACGCAAATAGGTATGGAATAATCTCGCTACGGCGCGAGGAGTCGTGAGGAATCGCGACTCCTCATACTCTTTTATTCGTCCTCGCAGCGAGGACATCACTCGCGCGAGAGCCTCCAATTTATCTGAAGTTGAAGAAGCAGGAAATATTTTTTTACGTACCGGCTATCGAGCTGCTTTGCTCGATTACGATCTCGGAGGGTGTCGAGCATCGCGCGCTGCATAACGTGTGGCTCGTAGCGACAATCTCGCATCCCGGCCCGCCGCGTATCGGCGTACAGCACCTACGTAAATGTGCGTGCATGCGTGTACACACGTCGTAAGTCGCGAGTGTGTTGGCGCGATGTACGCGCCTGTATCCTCCGCAGGAGACCTTGACAGGTCGGGCCGCGCGCGTTGGGCATCGTCGCGGCCCTCGCTCGTACATCTCGACCCACGCAGAAGCATTCGTTGCTAAGCGATCTCTAAAATGGATACCTTAATGTGGCTTTCGCAAACATTATTACGGCGCGACTGCTTTTCCCGGCTCTCTCGCTCGCGCAAATAGAACTACTTTATTCGCGTCCCTTCGCGGCCTCTCGCCACCACTCGACCCCGTTTTACCGCGGCTTCAAAGAAGATTCTGCGTAGCGCTAACCGATATAAACCGTGCTCCGGCTGCATGCTCCGGGATTATCCTCGCGGCGTTTTTGCAACTTGCGCCGGCGAATCTAGAGCGCTCACGCGTCTAGAATTTATGTGGCATGTCCGATTTCTCTATTTTAACTCCTGCTTCTTGTTTATCGAGCCTGCATTTAAGTTCCACACAGATTGCAAAATTCCTATAATTGTGGAAAACTTATGAGGAAAATTTATGAGCAGAGCCTGTGCTCTTTCGTCCCGACTTTACAAGTGCACTTTACAAGTGCACTCACTATCGATATCCCCGATATCGGGTTACCTTCAATTCGACCAGTCGATCCGTCATGTCACGACGGTCTAGAAAGTTTACAACGACAAGCGGTGAGATCACAACGTAGAATGGTGAGATGAAAAGCGATACGTCAGTTGATTAAGTTGTAACATAATACGAACATACAGAGAGATAAAGGGTAACACGGGAAAAGGGGTCATGGAGACGCGGAAAGAGATCGAATCAAAGTGGCCGTAGAAAGTTCATAGATGTAACTTACATGTGTACCATTTCGACGCTTCACCGATTATCAGCGACTTCCGAGGAATTATCGCGCTGCGGTGGTCGAAGAAACAGGAGAAGCGGCGAGACGAAGAGCGGAACATCAGTACGACACGGAGTTGTAACAGAATGTAAACTGAGATAAGTCGGGAGAAAGAGAAGAGGGAGAGACAGAGAGAAAGGATCAGGGAGATATGAAGGAAGGAGGAGAGCAAGTAACAATGCTTGTAATCTATAAAATTCGCAATTACTATTCGCATCCCACCAGCCGCGAGCATTCTAGAAACGCTCCCGCATACAATTTCGATGCATTATCGCGCATTATCCTCGACTTCGCAAGATCGATACCCCAGGCTGCAGCGCTTAAAGAGGAAGAAGTGACGATCATAATGTGGAACGACGAGACGAAGAGCGGCGCGTCAGTTGACTGAGTTGTAACATAATGCAAACGGAGATAAGACGAGAGAGAGAGAGAGAGAGAGAGAGAGAGAGAGAGAGAGAGAGAGAGAGAGGTTCGAAGAAGAGCAAGAGAGAGGAAGAGCGAAAGAAAGAAGAAGAGAACGAGTGAGAGGAAGAGAAAGGGAGCGAGTCGACAGTGGCGAGCGGTAGCTGGTCGACTGACAGCGCCTAAAGAATTAGTATCTTGTATCTGGCGAAGGGCGCCACAAATCATTTGGGGAGGCTGTCAGAAATACCTTGAGCTCAACTCGCAAGAGCCCGCTCTTCTCTCTACCTTCTCGCACATTCCCGCCCTTCTCCCCCTCCCCTCTCTCTCTCTCTCTCTCTCTCTCTCTCTCTTTCTCTGACGCTACATCGCGAACGGTCCCGGAACAGGCGCTCTTCCTCTACTCCTCCCTTCCGTTCTCCAGCTCGATCTCGTCTCTCTCTGGCGCGCTGCGGAAAGCAGTAACATCAAAGAACACCGGCGCCTCCGACGCCGCTAATGATATGCGACCCGCCGTCGCCACTGCCGGGCAACCTGGAAACTCGAGGACGCACGTTCCGACCTCCCTTGGAAACAGACCTTCGGCGGAAAGTTCCCGCAGCGGTTTCTTCTCTCAGAGAAAGAGAGAGAGATACGAATTTAGATATTAATTAAGCGGCGGAAGTACTAATGGCAGCTAAGTGCATCGGCGCTTCATGCTACCCTGATTCGAGAATAGCATAACTCTTCGTGTTCGGAAATTCGAGGGTGGGTGATACCGAATTACCATCCTGCCGATCCCTTTCGCTTCGCGTTTTCTCCACCCGTGTCTCACCAACAACTTCGGACAGGGGACGACGACACGGCGCGCCGTAAGACCTCCGTCGCGCCGGTGGCGGTACAAGTTTTCGCGAGTTAATTTGCACTCGGCACGCATACGCACGTCCCTTCGCAAGTTGATGTAATTCGGCGTTACAGTTTCCTCCTGCCTCGCGCGCCCTCGCGGGCCGCTCGATGCGAGGGGCGCGACAAAGTCCACCATTTCAATCGCTTAGGTTCGCGCGAATTACCGCCTACGGCCCTTTACGGCACATCAAAGGGACAGGGAACCGTGAAGGCGCACTCCCTTCGCCTCGCGCGGCTGTCTTAGCATATTCGGATCCCAAGGCATCTCTTTCCTTCCTCCCCCTCCTGCTCCCTTGGTTTTTGCTCTCGTGCCACCTTCACCCTCGCCGTGGAAAACGGCCTCGTTGCTCCTCGAGGAAGCATATGGAAGGTGTTTGACGTGCTGGCAATTCGAGGAGAGAATGCGGAGCGATTGATCCCTAAAAGCCCCAAGGATAAACTCGCGCGTTTTTCATTCGGGAAGGAATACTTCTCGGCGTGGCGGCAGAAGGTGAAGAAGGAGAAGGAAAAAAGAGGAGAAGGAGGAGGAGAAAGAGAAGAAGGAGGAGGAGGAGGAGCGCGCGCGAATAAAGCGTTTATTCAAGCGGAGGTGCGCCGTATTGACGTGAAACTTTTTCTCGCCACCATATGCCGGTTATTTACTCACCTGCCGGCTACGTCTTAATTTGGTGAGGGTCTAGCAAAGGGAGATATTTAAACAGTGTTTTGGGTGACTATCGCACAACATGCATCTTGGAATTTCAATTTCAATTTACACATCGCGCGCGCGTGCAAATGTTGAGATAATCGTGATAACAAATCCCGAGAAGCGTCAATCAGTCGGCGAAACTTGTTCACGTTTAAAATTCCTCGAGTAATAAAATTGTGTATTACTTTTTTCGCTCCGTTTTTCAAGTGAAACTTCATTCCAAAAAATTTAGAGAGAAGCTTTAATTAGTCTGCGAATCTTGTTTAAAAATTTTTCGAGTAACTCAATTATGCAGTAATTCAAATGCTAACAACGCTCTTGACGTTCTTTTTAACACAACGGTAGATCAAGTACGCGTTTAATTAATCACGTGAATCTTCTCGCTTCTTATGTTTCAGGTGGCGGTTAAGATAATAGATGTCGCGCAAGGCAAGGACTACGTGATGAAGAACCTGACGAGGGAGGCGAAGGTGCTGTCGATGCTGCAGCATCCAAACATCATGAGACTCTATGAAACTATCCGGGTGAGTGAAGAGCATTTCGGGGGTACGCAATCGCTTTCGAGAATTCGGGGACGATCGATCAGATCTCTTTATCCTAATTGACCCGCGTCGAAAGTTTAATCGGGCTCTTAGTGACCGAGACGAGTCGACATCTCGCGGCCGATCAGACGACATTCGCGTCCGTCATGCTTTTGTACGACGATCTGTTCATTCATCCGGCTAGAGGGGACTATGTTATTTCGTCTCGCGCATCCCTCTTCCAATGACAGCCACTATCCCCGTCGTAGATTCCGCGTTGCTCTTCGGTCACGCCACTCTCATCCGGTACATGACGTTCGTCAGAACTCCGTGACAAATCGCGAATGTCCCGAAATTTCGGCGCGCTGCCGGAGTCCGTTAACGCCACCCGAGAGAGAGATGATCCATCTTTCTGGATTTAATTAAACACGCCATTTAGCTGAATTTATGAACCGACCGTATATCCAGCCGGCTGAGCGCCGCGTCAAAGTAGACGAGCCTTTCTTCACCCCTTTAACTGTTCAGTCGGTGAAGCGCGCAGATGAGACGGGAATAGGATCGAACGAAAGATTGCTACTTGGTATAATCTCGAATTTGACGCCTCTCTCTCGGCTGTCTCGGTCGTAAATAAAGGCTGAAACCGATGTAACTTCGACGGTACTCGCCGAACGTAGCCCGACGCCGTCGAGGGATACATTCCGCGCGACGTTCGCGAGCGTCGGGAATTGATCTGGCCGAGATGATACCGAGTCCAATCGCCGAGTGCAAACTCGGAAATTATTTGTTCGAGTTGCAATCCTTTCCGCGCCGTCGACATACGGAGGAGGAGGCCTGGACCGGCACCATTAATGCACTGCGTCGTACGTGACCTGGCAGTACGGGCGCGAACATTGACCCAACACGCGGACACGCGAGTGCACGTGCACGCGCGTAACACACTGTACACGCACGCACGCACGCACGCACGCGCGTGCATACATTCGTACGTACATACATACATACATACATACGAATGAAGGAAAGTACGGACGGGAGAGAGAGAGAGAGAGAGAGAGAGGGGATGAGGGAGGAGAAAAAGCCGGGGAGAGGGCTCTCGTATGCTTGTACGACGTAATTGAATTCATGTGTGGGACGTCGATATCAGAGGCTCGCCGGCGCAGCATCGCGCACCTCGTTTACTCTGAAAATTTTGTTAGTCCGCGCGCTCGCTCGTCACGATCGAGTTACGAGGCGGAACGCGCCCGCTCTCGGCCCCGGCACGGAAGGGAGGGAGGAAAAGGGGTGTATACGCGCCGGGAAAGATAAAGTACGTAGGAAAATATGACGGGAACGCGCGGCCCGCCGGATAGCCGGATCCCCCGCGTGCGATTCGAGAATTTCGGAATTTCGGAGACCACCGCGAAATATCCAGCGCGGAATGAACGAGCAGTCGGAGCACGGCCAGTCTGATAGCTGGCTGGCTGACTGACTGACTGGCTGGCTGGTTAGCTAGTCAGAGAAAGAGAGAGAGAAAGAGACACGTGTACCAATTTTTCGAACTAAATACACCGCGAAAAACGTCGTTTCCTGAACGTGATAGGATAGCGATTCGTTTCGAAAACCACGCGACTAAAATATCGAGATGGACACCCTCTAAGTTTCTTGGACTACAATATCGCTCAAAGAGTAAAGTAAACCGGCCCAGTCATTCGGATCCGAGTGATCTTTCACTCATATAGAGTGAACAGTCAACGCGCAATAATACATAGAAAATACACTGCTCGAGTGTGGCTCGAGAACGAGTAAACGTGCGGCGAGAAACGCGCGGATCTCCGCCGAGGGGAGCGATCGTCCTCGTACACAGCGAGTTTTCATAAATGGACAAACGATTCTCCGAATTACACCGTTCGATTCTTCTCTCTTCCTCTCTGTCCCTTTCTTTCACCGCGTCTCGACGGGAATGATTTTATAGTTCGCGGACGGTATTACCCTCCTCGCGTTTATGAAACGCGAATAGAGAAGCGCGTCTTGTTTTATTTAAGCTATCCGTCGAAGGGGAAGAGCCATCGACGATGAGAATGCTCGCACCTGACGGCAAATATGATAATATCGGGACGAGAGGACTCCGCCTTTCTTGCCGTCGCTAAATTGGCTATATATGACGTCGCCTTATATCTCATCTCCACGTCTCGTGATCTTTACGACAGGACGCGCGCGCGAGCCAAGTGCGCGCGTAGGGTGCTGGCATCATTGTCGTCGTCGTCGTCATCGTCGCACCGTGCGATTTCGACTGCCGATTCCGGATTCTTCGTAGCATCTGCGTCTCGCATGCAGGCTGTAAAGTATATTCGTTCTCCCAGGCTGGGAGAGACTCACTACTTTACGCAGGGTCGCGCACGTCTGCCAATGACGTGTCTGCGCGCGGCGATAGGCAGCCCGTTTCCGAACGACGACGATAAACGCGCTATCGACGATGCCGTCCGGCTAATCGGCTATGCAAATGGCCACTCTCCCTCGTATTAATTATTAATACCCGGATTTTGATGTCGCTGACAGTCAAACGCGTCGCTGCAAGTTTTCGCAGTTTCGAATTTATGAATAATTTATGGACGGCGGTGGCGAGACCGGGCGAGAGCCATGCGGCTGTGACCGGCGATGACGAAAACCTCAGCCACGACTGCAAATTCGCGACAGGACACGCGACACGTAGGGCGCGACGAACTTTCAATACCCGCGAGGACAATGGCTCGACGGCCGCTTCCTTTTTTTGTTTTTTCGTTCGTTTGTTTCTGCCTCACGTCGTAAAGCCGCGTCGAACGGACCGGTGGCGAAAACGCGCGCCTTTCAATACCCAACATTTTAGACGGGCTCTGACGTTTCCATGCCTACACGTAAGGAAAGGGCTCAGTGGCTGATTCGAACTTAACTGATAAGCTAGTCGTTTTGCTGTCATTGTTAAGACTTGGCTATCACAGATAAAATGTCGTAATGCTGTGAGATGCAAATTTATCAACTGAAATTAAAAGCGTGCATTCACCTATTCGAGTAGTTGAGAAAGTTGGCGATTTCTAGATATCTTATACGCGTGAATCTCGAGCATTTGATTCTGTGAGAAGATAACCACGCTGAAAAAAAAGTATCCGTAAATTTTTATTTGAGGGATCACAAAAATAAACTTTATGTCCCACGAATAAATTTTCAAGTATTTTTTCTCACTATTTTTTACACAGCTCATATCACTTCATTGTACGTATTGATTGACCAATTTTCTCTCATTAATATCTCAATAATTACCGCGGCAAAGTTCACATAAAATGATGTAGTACTTTCCTATGCAATTTAACAAGTTCTATTGCACATAAGCATCTAAATTCAGATATCCTATATAAAATTATAGAATATGTAAAACAACAAGTTTTGTCTGTGTATGTGTTTGTGTATTCACGATCTTTTTATTTTATATTTTATATTAGGTGTACAACTTTGCTTCCGCCGTTTTCCTATAGATGGCTTTAGCGGTAAGTGGTGGTCGAAATAAATAGACGTCATACAATAAACTTGGGCATCTGTCAACATAACCCCATAGAAACATTAGTCGATTTGTGTTTGCATCATAAAGTTATTCTCGATTGAAAATGTCAGTTTACGAGCCAAATTCTCGTCATTTGCGGGAGGTTTTAATTTTTTGCTTCAATATGAAGAAATCTGCGGCTGAGGCTCATCGAATGCTCTCAAATACTTATGGTGAGGCCGCTATTAGTGAAAGAACGTGTCGTGAGTGGTTTCAACGCTTCAAGAACGGTGATTTTGACGTCGAAGACATAGCAGTGGAAGAGAGAAGGTTTTCGAAGATGCAGAATTGGCACGATCATTGAGAGTGACTCAACAAGCCATTTCAAAATGCCTCAAAGCCATGGGAAGAAGCAAGGAAATTGGGTGCCGTACGAATTGAAGCCGAGAGATGTTGAACGGCGTTTGTTTGCTTGTGAACAGCTGCTTGAAAGGAAAAGATGGAAGGGATTTCTGCATCGCATTGTGACTAAGGACAAAAAATGGGTTCATTACGATAACCCCAAGCGCAGAAAATCATGGGGAGTTCCCGGCCATGCTTCCACGTCGACGGCCAAACCGAATATTCACGTCTCCAAGGTCACGTTCTGTATTTGGTGGGACCAGCTCGGCGTAGTGTATTATGAGCTGTTAAAACCGACTGAAACAATCACAGGCGATCGGTATCGAACGCAATTGATGCGTTTGAGCCGAGCATTGAAAGACAAACGGCCGCAATACAACGAGAGACACGATAAAGTGATTTTGTAGCATGACAATGCTCGACCTCATGTTGCGAAAGTGGTCAAGACATACTTGGAAACGTTGAAATGAGAAGTCCTATCCCACCCGCCGTATTCTCCAGACGTTGCTCCCTCTGACTATCACTTGTTTCGATCAATGGCACACGGCCTGGCTGACCAGCACTTCCGGTCTTATGAAGAAGTAAAAAATTGGATCGATTCGTGGATCGCCTCAAAAGATGACCAGTTTTTTCGACGCGGGATTCGTACGCTGCCCGAAAGATGGGAGAAAGTAGTGGCCAGCGATGGACAATACTTTGAATCACAAATGTATAACCAGTTTTTTACAATAAAGCTTCGAATTTCGGAAAAAAACGGCGGAAGCAAAGTTGTACACCTAATATTTTTTTTATTGACATTGGAAATGTGTACAGAATGTCTAATACAACGTCCCAATCGACGCTTGCGTGCGAGTAGAGCTCATGAAATCGGACAGAACAGGTCTCTACTATTTTGCGTGTAACCGCGATAATTATTCCTTTGCTTCGATCTTAGCTGCTAATTATATTTTAGTTTTTGCTATTAATTCTTTCTCTGGCATGTAATTGCTACATGCAAAAAAAATCTTAGTTAGTGCAAGCGAATAGGAACCAAGTGAAAATTAGGCTATCAGAAGCGATATCTCTGTTTTGAAAACTAATATTTCTGTTGTCGCAACCGAAAATATTCGTCTGAACATTCAACGATACTAAAACTCGGTTGAAGCAATTGCGAACAATTGACTATACAGAAGCCTCATAAAAGAATTTTTCTGTTCCTACAGCCGAGTTTTCGTCTGATCCCTGAGCAACCGAAAATTCGTTTGCACCAACAGAATTGCTTTTTCCGTGTAGATTATTCATTTTATTATCCTAGACAAGATACGGGGCGATACTTTCTTTTCTACGATCGAATGACGAGCTGCCGATTTTGCAGAAACAAGTCGATAAATGGACGTTGATTGCGCGTTATCGTAACATTTATTATGCCCACGACAATCGAAGGAGAAAGAGAGCGTCGTTTCGGCTCGATTATTGATTTCTGTACGAGCGTCAAATGTCCAGATTGCAGGGTAACGCTGAATCACCCTATATACGATAAAAAGCGCGTGCCTGTCGAATTTTACGAAGACGCATGTCGGCCATCGGCGCGTTACTCATGCTCGGGATATCGCAGGAAAGCCGCTTTAAGCGCCAATTAAGGTCATTATGGCCGGCCTACGGGCGGCAGTAAACGCGTTACTCGCGCGATTTTATGTCAGTACCGATGTTACGAGCCGATGATTCGCGCAGGATTTGCCCGTTATGACGTCGTCGTCACGTCCCTCCGTTTGGACGAAATCGTAATAAAAATGTACGCGTCAACAGTCGCATTCTAGTAGCTTATTACAACAGGCACGTGCACAGCGGCCTCGGCACGGGATATTTGCTTAAATAATTCCACAGGGATTGGCCGTCTGACGTTTTCGTTATCGCCTCGCGAAAACGAAACAGGCGCTTTGGACAATCGAGAATGGAGAAACGATCGCGCAAACGTGTTCGGCGAAAACGCACGTTAAGAATTTACGCGACGGGAAACTTGTTGGTTATAAAAGGCTCGTGAACAACAGTGTAACTCCGTGGACATCTCGTCGAGGGTGGACGAGATAATAAAAAGTGCACGAGTACACTGAAAGAAAAGTGCAATACTTAATAAGTGCATTTGATTGAGCGTTTCAGTGCAACGTTTGGTGATTAGTATCGAATATGGTAATAATGTGATCAATCGTCTGATAATAATATAATTGGAAAATAATTAATAGGACAAATTCTTCATGTAGTTGAACCGATTAAGTGGTTTGGTAAATAATACCAAATGATTTCACAATAATTACTAAATCACTTGACTATTATATTTAGATGTACTGAGAAAAAAGATACTTGAAAATTTATTAGCAATACTTAAAAATTTTTTTATTTCACAGAAGTGAACTTCATATTCACAAAAGTGAACTTCATATTCACAGAAGTGAACTTCATATTCGCAGAAGTGAACTTCAGCGCATACTAAATTCAGTGTATGCATTAAGAGGAAAAGTCTGTTTCAAATTTCACCCGGCGAAATAGGAATCTGCTAGCGATAGGCACCTTCTTGGCACAAGCTACCGCGGAAAGAACACGTATGTGCCATACGCTTCTTGTTTCACTCGAAGGAATGACTAGCTCGGCTCTTTTCCCATCTTCCGACCCTGACCTTTTCCCTCCCTTCTTCCCGCCTTCTTTTCTTCCTTCCTCATTTACATGCGGCGAATTTACGTTCCTATTTTGCCCGTACGTCCGTTGATATATCGAAATCGCGTTATCTCACATCCCGGTTGATTCGCTTGGCAAGCATCAGGCGTATCAACGAATCCACGATCCAACGAAACGGCGATCCTTGCCAAGCGAGATAGAACTGCGGGTCTCTGTCTTTCTTCCTCGCGAATTGACTTCGTGAGAGAACGGCAATGGGAACTCCCCGGAAGTTCTCGTTCAGTTTCTATCGGCCAAGTTCTCCCGGCCGCCAATTTCGAGCGGAACGAACGTTGTCACGAAAAGCTTACATTACTCTCTTAAATTAAATCAGTGAGTAGTCACTGATACCAGTTATAAGTACAGCACTGAGCAGTTTCAGTGCTATGCTTATAACACAGCAAATCACAGGTTGTCACCTATAGTAGTTATTACCGCCGTGTCTTTTTTCCCGAGGGTAAGCGACGATCCCGGAGCAATTAAATGCAATAGCTAACCGAACGGGAGATAGAAAAAGAGCAAGTTAGAAATCTCGTTCTCTTCGATCCCCGCCCTCGCTCGACATTCCGGGCGCTCGCAGCTCGCGCTGCATGCGATATTTCGCATGCACGGGCGATATTTATTCGGCTCTCGTGAGCCGCGCGATTCATAATTAAAGCGGCCGCACCGCGCCGATGTGTCCAGCCACGAAGAATTAAATAATCATCGGCGCCCGGGGAACACACCGACTCGCCATCGGCCGGCAGCAATCGCTGCGACCGTAATTCGTCGGTCACGCGCGCCCGACGTCGCCGCATGCATATCGTTGCATTAAGGTAATCGCTTAATCGGCGAGACCCGCTTGCCGTCGCCGCAGCTCTCGCAGTCTCGCGAGTGCGGGCCGCGCGAAATTCGGGAAACGCTTTCTCGATAATTACGATGCGCCTCCGCGCCGGTGCATTTTAAATGCGCGCGAACAATTTCGCGCGCGACCAATCCCGCCGACTCTCGCCGCTCTCTGTCGCTTGTTGCTCCATTTACAAAAAGCGAACCGAGTTACATGCACGGCCGTGCAGCGTGGCGGGTGGAACAAAAAGGTGAGAGATCACGCATGCAGCGTTAACGTTATTCAATAAATTTCCTGCGCGTCATTTCTCTCTCTCTTTTCCCCTGTTATATTTATATATATTTTTAATATTTATATTTATATATTTATATTATAATATTTATATATTCTAATATTTATATAAATAATATCTATATATATTTCTAATCTAATTATTAACTTCTTTCATATTTTCATTTTTTGTATGCTTTTCTTTTTTTGCTTGATTTTTTAGCTTGCTCTTTCTAATACATTTACAGTTTTTCAAATCATAACTGTAATTTCGTTTATTTAATTATCAGCTTACTTATTTACCAAACTACTAGGAGAAACGGGTGTTACATTACTGGCTAATAGTGACATTTATATATTCTAATATTTATGTAAATAATATCTATATATATTTCTAATCTAATTATTAACTTCTTTCATATTTTCATTTTTTGTATGCTTTTCTTTTTTTGCTTGATTTTTTAGCTTGCTCTTTCTAATACATTTACAGTTTTTCAAATCATAACTGTAATTTCGTTTATTTAATTATCAGCTTACTTATTTACCAAACTACTAGGAGAAACGGGTGTTACATTACTGGCTAATAGTGACATTTATATATTCTAATATTTATGTAAATAATATCTATATATATTTCTAATCTAATTATTAACTTCTTTCATATTTTCATTTTTTGTATGCTTTTCTTTTTTTGCTTGATTTTTTAGCTTGCTCTTTCTAATACATTTACAGTTTTTCAAATCATAACTGTAATTTCGTTTATTTAATTATCAGCTTACTTATTTACCAAACTACTAGGAGAAACGGGTGTTACATTACTGGCTAATAGTGACATTTATATATTCTAATATTTATGTAAATAATATCTATATATATTTCTAATCTAATTATTAACTTCTTTCATATTTTCATTTTTTGTATGCTTTTCTTTTTTTGCTTGATTTTTTAGCTTGCTCTTTCTAATACATTTACAGTTTTTCAAATCATAACTGTAATTTCGTTTATTTAATTATCAGCTTACTTATTTACCAAACTACTAGGAGAAACGGGTGTTACATTACTGGCTAATAGTGACATTAGACACAAATTATTATCACGTGGTTAGAGATGCCGATGAGGTTCAATTTCTGTTACAGTAAGAGCCTCTGCACAAGAACATCCATAACATGTTAAGTTAACGGATTTTTTTGTGCGTTGACTTAAATTTAATTTTACGTACAGATATGACCATTGTATTGTTAGTACTTAACGTAACGTAACATGTTACATATATGCTTGTGCGTTGGCTCTAACTGCTCCAGAATTAAAGTGATGCATTTGTACATGATACACTTATAAAGACTCAAATCTCATCGCGCTCAGATCGCGATATTAACTTGTCGTTGAACAAAATTCGTGTAATGTTGTCATACTCAAAATAATTTAGATCAATTGGTACTCCTCTAAAAGTGCATTTGACGTAAAGTGCATACTCTGCACCTGCAACATCGAAATTTGGATTCGCCGGAATGACACTAAAGACACCCATGAGTTCGAAAGCGCAGAAATCCGAGGATCGCGGAATCGTCGCGCCGCATCCTCGAGTCGTGCAACGAGTGCACCGCGCTATCGATGCGAATCGATAACGGTTTAATTTAACGCCTGCTTGCAGAGCGGATCTGTGTACTATCTCGTGACGGAACTCGCGACCGGCGGTGACCTGTGCACGCACATTAAGGAACAGCCGACCGGTAAGCTGGACGAGAACACGGCGAGGCTCTACGCCAGACAGCTGGTCGCCGCGCTCAAGCACATGCATTCGAGAGGAGTCGTTCACCGGTGAGTCATCCGTGCTTTGGCCGCGTCCGCGAATTTTCGAACGACCTGGCGCGGTCCGAGCTTCTCCGATCTACGACCAACTCACGAAAGCCGAGACTTCCTCTCTTTCGCTCAACAAAACAAAGAATCTTGAGGGTCAAAGGCACTTTTCATTAGAAGAGGAACTTTCGATCAAAGTTTTCGCTTGGAGTATAGGATTACAGGAAATAACACCTTCCAACCAGAATTCTTTTTTTTTGAGCGTAGAACCTAATTAGAGTGTTTTTCTTCCTCTCTTTTCCGTCCAGTTGTTATATCAAAGCACGTGCATCGCAGTCTTATCAGACTTATTGCGACCTAATTGCACTGTTAGCGTTCACGCTTCATAAAAGACGTGCTCTACAAAAGGGTGCGTGAATTCAGGTATCATTATGCGAGAGGCACGAGCTCAATAGCAGTCGAGCGGTGTTCAAGACGGCATAAATCGTCCTCGAGATGCAACAATCTCGCAGATCCGCCGTGCGATCTCTCGCCCGCGCTGTACATCCACGGTCCAATAATATTCAAGTACGCGGCGTGTCGTGTCTTTTTTTTCCAGTTGGCCGCGGTGATGTACGACGGCGTTGGCCGGCCGTGCCGTGATCGCAGCGCGTATCGTTTAAATAAAGAAATCGTCCGGCATATTACACACGAGGGAGCACTTTGCGATCGCGAGCGTTGCGCTGCCTCTGCTGCGATCGCGCCGTGTCGATAACGATGCACGTTCCTGTTTATTACGAGCGGAATTGCACTCGCGAGGATCTTTGCTTCCCAGGAACGCACCCTGGCCTCGACCAGTCGATTAAACGTGGCTTCCTGAATTAATCGACCGGCAACGGCCGGGCTCGCGCATGTCGCGCGTACGCTAATTTCATCGGTATTTCAATTTATCACGAGCGCGCGATTTCTATTTGTATAGTATATCATGCACGCGGAGTTCTTAGCTTCGAACACCTGTTACCTAGATGACTATTGTGAATTTCGTCCGTGGAAGTTTTATAGGAAATTTTCTGCTTACATTGATCGTGATAAATAGTTTGTGATAGGACACCCCGTATAAAATAGATAACTTGGCTATGGGATAAATTTCTAATCAAGGCATTTGAATGGGACTCTCTCAGTATTGTACAACGCAACCTCTTTCAACCATAATATTCGTTCTGCAGATCACGATAGAAAAACAGCATTTTTCTTTCAGTTGAAGCAACTATATGTGAGGATATGCCAATTTGAGCATTACATATCGTAAGAATTGTGGCTGTGAGAGTTACACAGATGGGCGTGTATAACAACGGCAATCTCTCTCAACGCAATATCTATTTAATTTTAATTCATATAATTTTGTTTTAATCATAAAGAACATGATTGTTGTAGGAGCAACAGTTTTCTCCGTGTAGCTATGTGCGGCTTACTCCTCGACGTTTGGAAATCCGTTCGCAATATCCGTCTTTCAACGCGTCCCCTACATCTTGTTCTAATAAAAAAGAAAAAAGTCAGCGCGCCGTAATCTCAAGTCGAAACGCGAAATTTCATCTACCGCCCCTGCTTTTCATACATCACCTCGCATCAGCATATTGCGCGAGAGACGCGCTCTTATAAGCTACCAAATCGAAGTAGCGCGGATCATTTTTTACTACGACCCTCCTCCGCCCTCCGCCGACATTGATTGTCGAGGGTGTTTCAGTGCCACCGCGTGCTCTGTGTGCGTTGGACGTGAAATTAAGAAGAGCTGGTCGAGCTACATCGAGACATCATTAGCTACTTCAAAGGAGTCACACAGAGCATTCAGCTTCGAGTAACGTCGTGTGCAGAAAGGGGGGTTGATTTTCGACACATTTGTCGAAGAATCGCGGCACCCCGCAGCCGACGCGGCGTCACGACGACGCTCCCCCTCGCGCGTGAGAAGGCGAGACGCGTAATGACGCGTACACGTGGCGCAGAGAGACGAGCTCGTTCTCGTAGCTCGCGACGGATCGACGAATATAAAGCAGCAGCCGGCAATATGGCGTATGCCGTGGCAGTTTGTTTTCGTCGTGAGCGCAAAGTCTCAATCTCGGATGATAGTGATAGATCGTCGCTCACGGACTCGCACGTCAGCTCGGCGAGGAGCAAAGAATGGAAAGGGTGTCGGACTGTGCGCGAGGGATCTCGCGAGAGGAGGGTTAGGAAAATCGCTATAAGCGATCGCTTAACCCCTCTAGAGATTAGCTTGTTTCTCTTTCTCTCTCTCCCCCTCCGCCCCCTCTTTCTCTCTCTCTCTCTCTGTCTCTCTCGTCCGTCCGTCGCGAGAGAAGAAAAGCTGAAGCTTTCGCTAATGGGAATGGAAAAGATTCGGCGCTAAGGATAGTTAACGATCACTGGCCCTCGAGGATGCGCGTCCTATCGTGTCCTTTTTGCCGCGCTGCGTACACCCGTGGATTGAGACAAAGGGAGCGAGAAGCCGACCTGGCTTCTTCTTCCCGACGAAGACTGTTTCTCGACTCTCTTCTTCGAGTGCGCAGTTTCGAACTCATTGCCAGATAGTTACTCACTTTTTTTCTTTTCTTCGAGTTATCTCATAAGACGATGACAATGACTAACCTAACTGGATGTATATCGATGACTAACCCAGATATCGGCTACTATTTAATCAAGACCTTCGCGTTGAATCGCCCGATCAGATTATATTAAGTAGCGTTTTATCGCACAGATCCCCCGATAAAAAATATCACGCGCGGATCAAGGGTGTTTTCCACGACACGCTTCTATCTTCGTGAGGAAAAGATTGGATACAATTGAGAAACGATAACACACAGCAACAGCGACAGCTCGCGGAATGGAATCAAGTTGACGTGTCGGTCGAAGAATGAAGTTGTTTGTTCTGTATTTTCGTCTTCGCTAGTCGCGCGGGCGGATCTTCCGCCGGTTTTTCTCGACGAGGGAAAATCGCGGGGCGAGAGAGGGAGGGGGGGGGAGAAAGAGGAGACGGGGAAGAGGCGTCTTTTGTGCACCAACCCTCTCCGGGCCGGGACACCACCGAGCATCCGCAGGCTCACGTTTTAATTCCGGCGAACGCCTCCCGTTTGCTCCGCCATTATTCGCCGGACAAAGCGGTGATCCTCGAGGCGCAAGGGCACGGACTTCCTGCGGATCCTCGAGACGCGAGGGTAGGATTACGATTTGCCCGATTTCCCGTCCTGTGCCAGCGCTGTCCCGCCGAGGACTGACAAGGAGAGAGAGAGAGAGACTCTCGACGAAAGCCGCCTCGCATGTTTACCTACGCTTTTACTTGCGCGAGGAAAACCAGTCCCGACAAGTAGCAAGTAGTAAGAGTAAACGGTAAAGCTGTAAATCGGGTGCCGCGCGACTCTAGCCGATACTCGTACAACGTAAGAACCGGTAGCGACGGTTTTGTGCGCTCGCGCGTCTAAGCGCGCATGACGCATCCCGATTACACAAGCACCGATTATTTCTCTCCGCAGCCACTCGTGCGTGGCTGCGTACAATCGCCTATCTCTTTCTCTCTATCTGTCTCTCTCCCTCTCCCCGTGAGAAAATATTATCGCCTCTGCTGTGCCAGCGCCGTGGCGACTTTGCCGCTCGTTCGATCTTCGCGCGACACGGAATATAATAAAGCTTCCAAATATCTCCGCGATCTCTCGCGAAAAGAAAATTTCTCGCGGGTAGAAGTCCGCCCCCGTCCGTCTAGCCGCGTACGAATGTAAGAGGCGGGTGGTGGCCCCCCTGCTGCGAACTTATTCACGTGAAATTCACTCACCCGCTTGTAAGACTCTGAACACGCTGCTACGTGCGGTAGCGTGAGGTCGAAGTTCGCGGGAAGATCAGGCGCGTAGGCGGCGAGTGTTCAACAGAAGCGAGTACCGTTATAATCTGGGGTGAATTCGCAGCGAGCCTCTCTCTCTCTCTCTCTCTCTCTTTCTCTCTGCATATATGCATGTACCTACGATCTCTCCGTGTTTACCTCGGATCACGTGCAAGGCAAGCGCGGAGAGGAAAAGGCGGAAAAGCATCTCGGAAAGTATCAGCAGCGTTAGAGACGTTAATGGACACGCGCACTCGGTTATCCGCCTAAGTATAGTGCTTACGGTGCCTGTATATCCTTCGGCCCGTTATACGCGTAGGTTCGCCGGTCCCGAGTGCTTCCGCCGGCTAATCGAGTCTACGGCTGGCTAATTGGCTCCGTTCGCCGATGACCTTGATCTCTCTCTCTCTCTCTCTCTCTCTCTCTCTCTCTCTCTTGCTCGTCTCCTCCTTCTCTCATTGTCTCTCCTCTTCTCCCGCGGCTTCTTTTATTCTACCATTTCTATTCCACCGGCGTGCCATCTCGCCGTCGCCCGGATGTCGCGTCGATTCTCTCGTCTCCTCCCGCACGGAGAGGACAATTACTCCGCGCCGAGGACGTTTTTCGTGGCATGAGGGTGACAATGAGCGAGACGGCGGCGGCGTATAGTTACAGCGCGTTCGCGCGCATTACAATTGAGGCGCGACTCATCTCTTGTGCCTCGTGTCGCACGACATGAAACAGAGTGACGTGTACGTTACGTGGTGCGGATCGAACGAGCCCGGCCGTTTCTTCTCGATCGGCAATCCTCCGTGAGGTTAATATTTTTTCCCCCTTTCTTTTTCTAATTTCCGATCAGTGTATTAATGCGGACGATTGTGACGAGGGGGACAATACCGCAAATACCGAGTCGAGTCCATTCCCGTCCCGAAAGCCGACGCGAGAGGAACATTCAAATTCCGCACGATCGCTAGAAAGTCCTGGGTGCACCGCGGCGTGACAAAAGGCGACGACACGTGTAACAATGCCCGGATCGCCGAGATCGATCGGCGTGACGAAACGGCCGGCTGCGGCCGATCGATCGATCGCAAAAGTGCAACGATGCCCGCGGGTCTCACGACGACGCGGCCACGCGGTGTGTTCCACGAACTTTAGCATTTGCACTACTATCGGCGGCGGCGGCGGCGGCTCGATAATCCGC